GCAGTCTGCTCTGATTGGCCAGCTGACCCAGTGCATTGTGATTGGCCGAACACCGCAAGCACTCGTCGGAAATGTAACTCCCCTTACCATAATCGCAAGCATCAACTTTCAAAGTAAATATCAAGACAGTTAATAATGTCGTTAGTTTTACCATCAGTTCAAGCCCAAAAGGGCAACAGAGTCGCCTGACAGACACAGTGATGATCAGTGGCGTAACTTTGCTTTGAAAAGTGGTGGGGACACCGCTCAACTCAACTTGCAGGACCCTGTATATTTGTAAAATGTTGAGAGATTCAAACAAAAAGTAATCAATAAATAGAACAAAATACAAAGTAATAAAGACTGCAAGTGACGTCGCTAGCGGAAGTGCAAGTGTCTGAGAGTGCAAGTCTGAGAATGCACGTCTGAGAGTGCAAGCGCCAGCTGTAGCCAGACCCTTTTGGGGAGCTGGGCAATTCAGGGCTCCAGGCTCATTCTTCCCACTGCTCGCTCTTTTGCGATTAACTTTCTCAGTTGGCTGCACAAGCACGTTTTTTTTTTTTTGCGCTACAACATGCTGTTAATCAATGCATGCTGATGAACTTTTATCGTAGTTTATAGTTAGATGGAAACGAAAGTAGTTAACATTCAACCCGTTCTTTTTCATCAGTAGTATTATTTGTGATTTGAATTTTGTGAATGGGAGTTCCTCTTTTGACATGTTATAAGCTGGGCTTTGGATGCTTTCACTTTCGATTTCACGATCTTGTCAGGTTTTTAAACTCGCAATTCTGACTTTTTTTCTCGCAATTGCGAGTTTATATCTCGCGATTCTGACTTTTTTTCAGTATTGTGAGATTTTTTGCTGAGCGCACCTTCTGCAATTAATAGTAAATATAACCAAAACAGGTCATTATAATTTTTATATAAAAAATAAAATAAATATAAGGAAAATTGAAATAGAAATCTTTTGTAACGTTATAAATGTCTTTACTGTCATTTTTTATCAATTGAATGTATCCTTGCTAAATAAAAGTATTAATTAAATTTTTTTTAAATAATAAAACTCTTACTGACCCTAAACTTTTGAATGGTATTGCTACATATTATTACTAAAATGTCTAAATACAACAGATGTACCTGATTTTATTTCTTGCAATACATGTAAAATCCCCATTTTAAGTATGACAATATCTAACATATCAGATACTCCTTACTTTAAGAATGAAGTATAATAAAAACAATAAGAATTTGTCTAATTGTAAAAAAAAAACAAAAACATTATGTGACACGAGTGTACCCTTTTGTGGGAAGTGTCAAAGAGTAATTTGTTTAAGGATTAAACACTGTTTGTCTTCTCACTACAATTTTGAGAAGCAGAATTGACAAGTCTTAGATCTTTGAGTTCAGCTCATGAAAAATGGGGGCAAAAACAAAAGTGTTGCGTTTATAATTTTGTTCAGTGTAGATCATTGTGTGGCTGCAAGGATTGCATAAAACAGATGAGGTTGGTCAAGTCAAGTCAAGTCTGCTTTATTGTCAATTCTTCCACATGTACAGCACATACACACAGAGAATTGAAATTGCGTTACTCTCAGACCCTGGTCTGTGTGGTGAACACTTCTCTAGTCTATAGAGCCATTTCATTGCATATTTACCCCTCTCTAGAAAATAATGAGTAAATCATGAGAAAAAGCGGTATGTAGATATGTTGGAAGAGTCATAAGTAATTTAACACCCCTCATCTCCACCCCCTTTAATCTGGCACTAGAGCTGCCCTGTCATTTCCAATAGAGCACATTAGACAATTTCACCTATCATCTTTCAAATTCATCTTTCATCTTAATGTGTTATTTGTCATTTTTTGTAATTATTTGTAAAAATTCACTTGCAATTTCTGAGTGAAAACTGTTTCTGCTTTTGTAGTGTTTCTTTAATTTAATATATTTTGTCTTAATTGTGATGTTTATTTATTTATTTATTTTTTGGTAGACATGCAAAACCACTCAAATCAGGGATTTAAACTATTTAGACATGTCCTAAATTTTGATAACAGGGTTTTAAGAATGGCAAATCACATAGAAAATGAATAGAAAATCTCCTATAAAAAATGTTGACCATTAATGATAACTATTTTCTTCATTCTAAGCACCCCCTTTTACTGACCATTTGTTCAAAAAGGAAAATATATCCTATAAGCTATATAATTTTAGAGATGCAAAACATATTTTGTATACATTTCAAAGTAAACAAACAATCAAACAAACAAATAAATAAGTGCAGAATTTAACTATAGCCTACTTTGAAACTGTTTTCACTCATAAATTGCAAGTACATTTTTTACAAATAATTACAAAAAACGACAAGTAACACATTAAACATGATAGATAGATAGGTAGGTAGATAGATAGATAGATAGATAGATAGATAGATAGATAGATAGATAGAATGATTGATTGATTGATTGATTGATTGATTTAGAGAGAAAGAAATAGTATAGTATGAAATAGTATATACTGAAATAATATAGTCTTGTAAAACACACTCCAAATAATCTTTGTTTTATTTACAACTCAGAAAAATCATTAGAAGAGCACCCTGCTGGTAGAAAGTGGCATCTGAGAGCACATTTCCAGGCAGAACTGATTGATAAATCTGGACATTCAGGGTTAGCAGTAATTTGCTTTCTGCCAGTGACAGGCTCGTATGTCTCGTTTCGGAGCACAATGGGTTAAAGAAGACTAACTCTGACTCTGCAGGCTCGAGCAGCCCTCCCTCCCTCCATTAGCCTCTTCCCTCGGTTCACTTTACTGGGCTTTAACAGGGGGGCTCTGTATCAGCGAGGTTGGCGCCCGGGACTTTTTCGGGATAGGCTATGTACCAATAACTCCTAACCGGATAGGCCTCCACAAAGCGAAACCGCAAAAACACACAGGCAAAACTTTGAGGCGCTTAACTGATTTGAACGTCTGCTGCATTTGAGCCAGAATCCAAAACTACCAACACTGAAAACATGCGGAGATGTCGAGAGGAGCACAGCTACCGATAGGATCCCGAAGTTGGGACCTTTATGTCAAGCAATGAGAGGTAAGGACACAAAGGACGTTCAGATTTCCAAATCTTATTTATTATTCCAGCTGAGTCACGCAAGCAATCGTCGCTTTCAACATTCACATCCACTGCCGCAATACCGCATTATGAAGATGCGATCGCTGCTAAAGGGGCTCTTTATTCTTGTCCCACAACATCGGAAAGCATCTGAGTGATTTTAAGGATGTGATTTACCTTCCAGATGAAAATCTTCAGTCAAACCCATGAGAGGCATATGAATTGTGGAAGAGCTGGTTCTCCACCCGGATTGACAGTGGTTTTCTTCTGAAGTGGACTGCTAAGTAAACTAATTTATGAGAGAACAGAGGTATCTATTTTCATATTTATCTGAAATATAACGCGATATAGGCAACGTTACGTTACATTTAGACAAAAGTAGAAAACAAATCCATAGTAGCCTACAACTTTTCATGTGGAAATTCTGTAGTTTTTTTTTCAATTAAATAGATATCTTTTTCATATTAAAAAGATTCTTTGCATTGTGCCATCTCAGGCAGTTTTTTAATATATTATGAGATTAAATTATGAAAAAAAATTCTACCAATAGAATCACTTTTTTTTTAAATCACTTACTACAAAACCATAGTTACTGATTTAGGACTGTCCCCTATATATATATATATATATATATTATATTTTTTATTATTATTTTTATATGTATATATATACATTTTTTTTTTTATATGGTCAGCTTTGTATTCGGCTTCATATTCTAGAAAGTACTAGAAAAAATACTAGGAATTAATTAAGTAACTACATGAACTATGAACTACATAAATTAGAAAAGGTATGTCATAATGACATCATCATGCTTTCAGGAAGTAAATTCTGTAATGACAAGCAAATATCTCGTTTATATATATATACATTTATATATATTTAGGACTGTCCTTTCCTAAGTCCTAAAGGACAGTCCTAAATATATATAAATGTATATATATATAAACGAGATATTTGCTTGTCATTACAGAATTTACTTCCTGAAAGCATGATGATGTCATTATGACATACCTTTTCTAATTTATGTAGTTCATAGTTCATGTAGTTACTTAATTAATTCCTAGTATTTTTTCTAGTACTTTCTAGAATATGAAGCCGAATACAAAGCTGACCATATAAAAAAAAAAAAAAAGTAAAAATGACTATAAACAACCCCACTCTTTCTTGTGCTTTATTTACCCTCTGATGTGTTTGGATATGTAGACTGAATTTTTGTAAAGTCGCCTTGCATTCAGATTGATGAGGGAACTCATTGTGTATTGTGCTCAGGTGCCAGCAGTGCTTATTTTTGAAATTCTACCCTCTTTGCGCAGCATTTTGTGACCCAACAGACTCACAGCAGAAATGTGACGTTGAGCAAACTGCTGTTATTGATTGTCGTCTAAATCCAGAGAGTAGAATGTGTCACCACATCAAGGTCATACCCTGTGCACTATGAGAGCAGTTTCTCAGTGGTGTATGAAGCATATGGCTTTGATGTGTGCGTGTCTTTTTTATTCAGGTTCTATATAAAGTTATTAATAATTTTTCAGAGGAAACTAACAGTGGCTCTATGGCTTTACCATTCAAAATACAACGTACAGACTTGTGCAATGACATGTGTAATCAACAACATAAAATAAACCTTAATATTTCTAGTCCAGTCTGATAAAAAATAATAGTTTTCATTGGTTTGACTGATCAAACCCATAGTCATACAGTCTCTCTAACAGAACACTGTTAAAAAAAAAAGAAAAAGATGATCGAAGTGAACATTATTGGAGTGTTTTACAAGAAAATACTACTTCAGTCTTTCTACTCCAAAATGTCACCTTTAATTCAAGGTGTTACTTGCTATTTCTTTGTAATTAAGTTAAAAAATATTTTTTTTATTATTTCCCCCCCAGAGATATTTCTTACAGTTTACCAACAGAGTTGATAATGTTCAAGATATTATAACTGTATATATCTTCAAAATATGAACATTTGTTTGCTTGAGACTACAAATGATGTTGTGGTCAAAACTTTACATACAATTTGCAGTATCTGCAAAATGTTAATTATTTTACCAAGATAAGAGGGATCATACAAAATGAATGTTATTTTTTATTTAGTAGGGTACAACGGGGCCCCGGGGTAAAAGGCGCCTTTGATATTATTTTCATCTAAACCACTAGATGGCACAAAAACGTGGCGTAGCACTTTCCAAAACATCTGCTTTTCAAGATGCACGTGTATATTTGTCTGATCTTTGACGCATCGCGCGCAGCAGCGCAAAGTTGATTCTGTGCTTACTTCATCTAATATTTTATGTTTTTTTTTTTAAATGTTGTAGATTTAAGTAGCAAATGAGAATAGCTTAAAAAGCACCCCTGCTGTTGGGGCTAAAGGCACACAGTAATTAACATTATAATTAATAGAGGGCTGACTTTTCCATTTGTTGACACGACATGGTTAGATTCAGATGGTATATATCATATATTATGTTGGGTGTCCATATTAGAGATAATCACCTTGTTTAGAATGAAACCATCATATTTAAAAACATGATATTAATCATATCATATAATAAAATATCATTTGTTGTTACTACTGTAAATATATATTCAATTATTATTGGATCTCCTTCAATACTTTCAGAATCTTTACTTATTAAAACGATTTTGTTTCTGTATTTTAAAATATATATTTTTTATATTAACATATTTTAATGACAGTATATTTATTGAAAAAAAATTATTCTTTTATTTTTCAAGATAAGCAGAAAATAGTAAACTTTGCTAAAGTGATTGTTTTGAACAAGTATTAACTTAGACATTATTTAAAAAATAATAACGTGTGTAGGTTAAAAGGCCCCTCTTGCCACCTCATACATTTTTAAAGAAATAAACAACTTGAATGATTTATTTTCACACTAAATCTGTTGCTCCATTAATGTTCAATACAACATTTTTTTTTTCCTGCAATTATACATTTTAGGCGCAGTGAATGGCACATGGTTTCTTAAGGTGGGCCTTTAGCCCCGTTGTACCCTACTGACCTAAATAAGATATTTCACATAAAAGATGTCTACATCGTTTACCATCAGTCAAGGGACTGCAGATGTAAAATAGCCTTCTGGCTAATTCTGGCACATTGTACATTTATGCATTATTGATGTGCGTTGTCCGTGTCAAATAAACCTGAAATAAAATAAATAAAATAAAATAAACATATAGTCCACAAGAGAAAATAATAGTTGAATTTATAAAAATGACCCCGTTCAAAAGTTTACATACGCTTGATTCTTAATACTGTGTTGTTACCTGTATGATCCAAGTGTTTTTTTTGTGTGTTTTTTTTTGTGATGGTTGTTCATGAGTCCCTTGAACAGTTTGTCCTGAACTGTTAAACTGCCCTCTGTTCTTCAGAAAAATCCTTCAGGTCCCAAAAAAAATTTTTTGGTTTTCCAACATCTTTTGCATATTTGAACTCTTCCCAACAATGACTGTATGATTTTGAGATCCATCTTTTCACACTGAGGACAACTGAGGGACTCATATGCAACTATTTCAGAAGGTTCAAACGATCACTAGTGCTCCAGAAGGAAAAACGATGCATTAAGAGCCTGGAGGTGTAAACTTTTTGAATTTGAAGATCAGGGTAAATTTAACTTATTTTGTCTTCTGGGAAACATGTAAGTATCTTCTGTAGCTTCTGAAGGACAGTACTAAATGAAAGAAAGAAAAAAAGATATTTAGGCAAAATAACTAAATGTACACATCTTCATTCTGTTCAAAAGTTTACACCCACAGCTCTTAATGCGTCGTGTTTCCTTCTTGAGCATCAGTGAGCGTTTGAACCTTCTGTGATAGTTGTGTATGAGTTCCTCAGTTGTCCTCAGTGTGAAAAGATGGATCTCAAAATCATACAGTCATTGTTGGAAAGGGCTCAATTACGCAAAATATGCTGGAAAACCAAAGAATTTGTGGGACCTGAAGGAAGATCAGTGGGCAGTCTAACTGTTCAGGACAAACAAGGGACTCATGAACAACTATCACCAAAAAAAAAAAACAGCTGTGGATCATCCAGGTAACAACACAGTATTAAAAACCAAGCTTATGTAAACTTTTGAACGGGTCATTTTTATAAATTCATCTGTTATTTTCTCTTATGGACTATATGTAAACATCTTTTATGTGAAATATCTTATTCAGGTCAGTGCTACATAAAAAATAACATTCATTTTGTATGATCCCTCTTATTTTGATTAAATAAATTACATTTTTCAGATACTGCAAAGTGTATGTAAAATTTTGACCACAACTGTAAATCACAAATATGATACACTTCCCATTACACATGATCTGTTGTGTATTTAAAAAAAAATATCATGGGCCTCATTCATAAAACACCGGTTGAATTTGTGTAAATGTTTCAACCATTGTCCATCCAAATCTCTTCTTATATTTATTGATTGATTAATTGATTGATCTTTAGAAAAATGTTTTTATGAATGTTTTACACACAAATTTTCATCACTGAGACCCATTGATCCTTGTAGAATTGGAGTGGTTTTATAAGACTTTATAACTTTTTTAAATGAAAGTATGTCATTTTCCTAAATAGGTATTTTGCTGTTGCTAGTAGTAACTCCTGCAGCACTGTCTTGTTGATTTGGAATGTGTTATTTGTACAGTTTCTGTTGTCCATCATGTAGTTCATTTTGTGGAGTAAGTGTAAACTGTGTGTTTGCATGTCTTTAAAAATGGCGTGTGCTGTTTCATATGGCATGTGTTCATCCAATCAATGTACATTTACACCACTGGTTGTTCCTACAGTGCTGGGTTAAACCCTCCTCTGAAGTAGGAGCTAATTCAGTCCCTCCAAAGGTGTTCCTAGAACTAACATCGTTCCCAGTTCCTTTGGTGTGAACATGCCAAAAAGTGGCTACTTCCGGCAATAGTTCTAGGAACTCTGAAAACATTCCTCTGGTGTGAAAGCCCCTTTTGAGGCAGTTGATGATACTGTAGGTTTGTGTTTGATCAGTTGTGTCAGTGACCTGGAGGATGTTCCAATAGCACTTGTTAACTTAGTAGTTTGTTCATGGTTACAGGCATGTTCATATTTTCCTCTTTCTATATTTAAGTCTAGACTGACAACCTACATTACCTTGGGTGATATAGTGTAATGTCCACGTAGTCATAACAGTCGTGCCTAATGTGAATTTCAAGTTTTGCTGGTTCTAAGCTATTTGTATCAGGGAAGTTGGGTGTCAGAGTTTTACTGGTCTTGTCTTCAGACATGTGCCGTTCACGTAAAACTGATAAAGTGTGCAATTTCTGCATCACTAGCGTCATCAAGCAGTTTTTCAAACAGGTTTTAAGTACTAAATACTCCCCTGTCTTCTTTGGGACAAACAGGTAGTAAAACCCACAGCTGGGCACAGAAATAAACAAATAGTGGTACAGAAATTACACACTTCAGTCATTTGACTGAATGGCACACCTTTGAAAAGCACCTTTGACATCCAAGATTATTGCTACAAATAGCTTAACTGTTAAAGAAGAAAAGAGCAGAAGTTTCTTCAGGGATGTTTCTTTCAAATCTGCGTTCCTCAGCTGGTGCTCATTTCTTTGAAGACATGTTGAATGCAGGTGGTTTGTGTTAATTTGTAGAGTGGAGCTGAGTTATGTCTTTTGATTTCACATTAAAAGAACTTGTCAGATGGTACCCTTGTGAAAAATGAGTGTGCTTAATTCTATTGAATGTGCAATTGTAGCGTGCTTCAAATCTTAAAAGTATATTTTTAAGAAGCTGGACTTGCGTTTGATATAATAAAATAAAAGGACACGTAAGTGAACTTAAAGAGAGATACTTTCATGACTATTAACACAGTTAAGTACACTTTTAAAAAGTGCACTATAATAATGTCAGATTATAAGTTTTACTTTAAAGTACATGGTAAATAATTATGTTTTTAATAATCTTTTGTCTTGCCTTGAAGAAATACAGTTAATGTGTTGACTAACATACTAATGCACATGTAAAGTACTTGATTATAAATTAACTGTAACATGCTATTTGATATTACATTTAAACTTAATATATTTTAAATGTACTAAATTGCAACTTCATTACAAATGTGTAATTTTAAATATATTTAAATCACAGAAGTTTTAATATGATATTAAATTATATTAAAGTATATTATAGTTTACCATAAATGCTTGTCAGTACATTCGGCAGTACACTTTAACTTATTACAACACTTACAAAATATTTACAACAGAAGTAATTATGAAATTACATATAAAGATGTACTAAAGCCATACATAAGTGGGTCAAAAAAGCATTTTGATGGGGTTTAATGTAAATTTACACTATAATGCATTTTAATTTAATTGTAAAAAACATGCAGTTAAGTGTCCAAAAACATTACATTCAGTTCACACTGAAGTATATAACAAATAAAATATTTAATTTTTTTTGTAAGTTTTTTTATTTTGATTGATGTTATTTTAAAATAATTTATTTAAATTTTTTAATTTTTATGATTTAATTAATTATTAGCTTTTCATTAAACTCACAAACCCCCTTACAATCCCCAGTTTGGGAAACCTTGACATAATATACTGTTTAATGCACTTCATGTTGTTAATTACAACGAATTTAATATTTTCTTACTCTTTGTATTTTTATATCAATATAGTACAAAATTATCCTATTTAAATCAATGTGATAAATGAGTTAGGTCAAAAGGTAGTCTGATTGTATTACCTAAAACATGTAATGGATTACGTTACTGACTACAATTTTTGTCATGAAATTTGGAATCAGTAACAGATTACAATTTGTAAGTAATCTACCCAGCACTGATAATAAGTACTCTTTCTATAAGTATGCTAAAATGCACTTCTTTTCCAGAAGGATAGGCTTGCCAAAAAGCTAATGAATCCATTGAAATATCAGGTGCATGTCCAGGGAATCAGTCCATTGCAATGAGGCATGTCTCTCTCTTTTTTTTTAGGCTAACAAAGCTGTAGATTCTGCTGGAGATTCCTGGCCATTGCGTCTTCGCGGCACACACTGCATCGCATCTCTTCTATATCACAAACCATCTTCATCATCCCACACCCAAAGTCATCATGACGACCTCTTCTTTACGGCGCCAGATGAAGAACATCGTGAACAACTACACGGATGCAGAGATCAAGGTCAGGGAGGCGACCTCCAACGATCCGTGGGGTCCTCCGACCTCGCTCTTGATGGAAATCGCAGACCTGACCTTCAACGTGGTGGCCTTGACCGAGGTCATGGGCATCATCTGGAAGAGGCTCAACGACCACGGCAAGAACTGGCGGCATGTCTACAAGGCCCTCACTCTGCTGGACTATCTGATCAAGTCAGGATCAGAGCGAGTGGCCCAGCAGTGCAAGGAGAACATCTACGCCATCCAGACTCTGCGGGATTTCCAGTACATCGACCGGGACGGGCAGGACCAGGGCATGGGCATACGGGAAAAGTCCAAGCAGCTGGTGGCTCTGCTCAGGGATGACGAGCAGCTCAAGCAGGAGAGATCGCAGGCGCACAAGACTCGTGAGCGTGTGACGGGAACCAGCAGTGCCATGGGTTATGGATCTTTACCACCTCCCTATCCTGGACGTCACACCATTCAGCCCAGCGTGGAAGTGCTGTATGGGGAAGAGCATGGCAGGGTGAGGCACTCACCTTCCTCTGTCAACTGTGAGTATGACTGTTCATATTGTTCATGAATGGCCAGGATATGTAGGTACAAATTGGGGCAGTTGAATATTAAGTTATGCACAATAATTTAATAATTTACCATTGCCTTTTACTGTTTTGATAGAAATATAGTCTTGCTATTGTGTGTATTGATCCAGAGATCAAGCCTGAAAGGCAGTATTTGCTTATCCAAGTCAAAACTGAAACTATAACATTGTGATTAGATATGGCAATATGTTAACTGCAAGTTCAATAGTATATTGAGTTATGGGGTTTAGGTCAGCGGATAAATGGATCCACATTAATTGGCATGGATCAACAATTTACTTTTAAGGATGCACCGATATTGAAATTCTTAAACTTATAATTTAGGCATCACAACATTATAATGTACATTATGAAAGTTCGTTTTCGAGTGTTAGATGAACATTTAAATATCCAATAGACCTTAGTCAGGTTAGATGCCAAATAGAATTTAACCCGGATGAAAATTATTTTTTCGCCAACTCACAACTTTCAAAACTATTTTATGGAGGTTTTGTCTACTGAGAGTTCTTTTCAGAAAGACACTTCATCAGCTGAACAATTGGTATGAAATTGAAAAAAAAAAAAAAAACACTTTTAAGATTACAATTTTTAAGATTGTAATTTAAGATTACTACAAGTGCACGTTCAAAATACAGTTAAGCATATTTCTTTTTCACAAGGGATAGAGCACATTAAATATGGTAACAGGAAGCTTAAATGTGCTTGCTTGACATGCAAGAATGAAGTTTTTGAAGCGTCAAAGTTTTGGGGTGAATGGACTTTGAGTGAAGGGACAGAAATCTCTCAGGATTCATTACAAAAATCTGTTCTGAAGGTGAATGAAAGTCATACAGGTTTGGAATGACAAGAAGATGCGTACATGATGTAGGGATGCTCCGATCCGCCTTTTTTGCCTCTGTAAGGACTTAAATATTCATATGTAGCTCACATTAAGCTATCGTATGGCTTCAGAAGTAACACAGAATAATTCGCACAATCGAAAAAAATAAAATAAAAAAAATATCGGATTTGGATTGGCTCTCTCTGACCGATACCCGATCCGAGAAAAATGGCACTATCGGAGCCGATACCCGATATGAATATCGGATCGGCGCATCCCTAAAATGATGACAGAATGTTCATTTTTGGATGAACTATCCCTTAAATGTTTGTCAGGAGTGAGCACATATTTGTTTCACTTTGATTTCACTGAAATGAAGAGTACTTCCTTCCTTCACTGACTGAGGATTTGGAAATGGTTTTATAATCAATCAGCTGCTGAAGTTAACTTAACCAATGAGTAATCTATGTCAATAGTGACAAATGTGTACACACACTGTTTACTTAGAGAGGTGTATCACACACTGCCTTGTGCTTTTAACCTAAATGCTTAATTCTTTTGGAAGTTCTACTTCCTCTTTTTTGTGAGAGTTTGATCCCTATGGTTTTAATGTGAAGTGCCTCATCCGTATAGATCTGATCACTTGATGCATGTGTAACTATGGACTGGATATGCATCTACATTCTTCCCAATCATTTACTCACTCTATGAAGCTCTTTTCTTACATGTATGTTAATTTTTGAAGGCTTCAGGTTGATTTTTGTCTTTGAGCAATGCTGTTTTAAAGGGATAGTTCACTCAAAAATGACGGTTCTGTCATTTACTCAATCTCATGTCTTTCCAAACTGTATCTTTCACCTGTCGGACATACATGAAACTTTCACACAGAGAATTTTGATGCAGCTTGCTTCCATACATCAGTAGTTGCTTACCTGCTGCCTGGCTTCTTCAGTTTGGCCCACAGTTTAGAAACTGAAACTGATGAGCTTTGAGCTGTGAAATCAATGGCATGTCAATACGCGTCAATAATAATAATAAATGCATCAACGATGTTATTCCTCTGCATATTTACAGAGAAAAACACCGTGAAACACAGAACATTTTCTGTTGTATTTTCTGCCTCATTGAATTCCTCACATATTTATAGAGCTGAACTCCAGTGTATGCATGTGGGGAATGTGCCTCTACAGCATTTATCACTGCATTTACAGTGAATCTACAGTCCGTTTATAGTGAAAATATACATATAAATATGGCATTAAATGTTGGGATAAGTCATTTTTTTTAAAGAAATTAATACTTTTATTCAGCAAGGATGCAATTGATTGTTTAAAAGTGAGTGACAACATTTATAATGATACAAAAGATTTCTGTTTCAAATAAATTTGGTTATTTTGAACACCAACTTTCTGAAAAAGAAAAGAAATTTCTTGAAAGAATCCTGAAAAAAAATAAATAAAAATGAGGCAGCACATTTTATCAAATATATGCAGCCTTGGAGCGCTTAAGAGATTTCTACCAAAAACATTCAAACATTTTACTGACCCCAAACTGGTGGTGTATATATATATGCTTATCATGTAATTAATTTGATTAAAATGTGTAATTTGTACAATTTTATGGTCATGTTTTTTTCTACATTTCAGGGCCTCTCTCATACAGTATGACAGACCACATATTCAGTTTCTACAAGGAACTCTTTGACATTCGATAATCTACTGAAATCAAACCTTTGATGACATAAGGAGCAGTGTGGTTTCACTTTTACTTAAAATAAACCGACATGTTTGTAATGATGCCAGGTATTTTGGGAAAGTACAGAAATTTCCCATCCTGTGTTTCCGTGGGTGCTTAGTGAAAAATGTGTTAAAAAAGGGACAGTTCACCCAAAAAAATGACCCTATAATTTACTCACCCTCAAGCCATCCTAGGTGTATATGACTTTCTTCTTTCAGACGAATCCAATCAGAGTTATATTAAAAAATGTCCTGGTTCTTCCAAGCTTTATAATGGCAGTGAGTGGGTGTTATTTTTCTAATAAAGCACATCTATCCATAATAAAAAGTGCCCCACATGGCAAACGCATTGATTCACTACAGGAGGACTTTATTCACCCCCCGGAGCCATTTGGGACACTTTTTATTATGGATTGATTCGCTTTATTTGACGTCTTTTGGACTATTGAAAAATAACACCCATTCACTGCCATTATAAAGCTGGGTGAACTATCCTTTTAATGGTCACTGTTTTCAGGGTTAGATGGTCATGAGCCTTGCAAAGAGTTGATGAGGTGAAAAGTTGTGATTTGTGCCACAGAGGTGCCAGTGGTCATGTGGAGTTGACCGTATCTCTACACAAGTGCATTCCAGGCCAGATGCGGCCATTCAGAGCCACTGTAGTGGAAGTGATCACAACTGGAAAACGGCACTGCCAGTTTCTAGTTCTTTCCTCTGTTCTGGTCCAGGGCTGTTTTCTCTGAGAAAGCAGTTCTATCTTCTTCTTCAAAAAAAAAAAAAAAAAGAAAGAAGAAAAAAAGTATATATAGACAAGGTTGTAATTCACAGTACAAAAATAAATAAATAAAATACAACAACAGGGTTAATGTACAGACATGAAAATAGCATGCATAATAACATATATAATATTATATATTAGTCATTATACATAATAATAAAAATTAGTGATTCATTGAAATTACAAAAGTTTTAAATTTTATATTATATTTATTATAATGTAAGCCACATTTTCCCCTTCCCTCCTGTCCTGCCCCACACAGACACCCCATTGTTTCACCAGCAGAGTAAAACAGGCACAGGAAACCAATTCCAGCCCGGGCATGGAAGAACAGTGATTTGGGTGCTTGTTTAACATTCAGTGGTGGTGCCAGTCCTTTCTCATCCAAAGCAAGAGGTTGAATCAAGCATTTTCTCTTTTTCTTCCTCCCAGCCTCCTCTTCCTCCTCTCATCTGGCCCCAGATATGGAGCGCGCCCGGCCGCAGACGAGCGGAGAGGAGGAACTCCAGCTGCAGCTGGCCTTGGCCATGAGCCGAGAGGAGAGCGAGAAGGTGAGGTTCACACACACACTGTTACACACACACACACACACACACACACACCTATTATTAACTGCATCAGGATCACGGGTTCTCTAGTGGTTTTGGTTCAGGATGCAGATTTTACTTTGGTATCACATGGTACTAAAAATATCTGGTAACACTTTATTTTAAGGACCAATTCTCACTATTAACTAGTTGCTAGCATGAATATTACTAGTATATTGGCTGTTTATTAGTACTTATAAAGCACATATTAATGCATTATTCTGCACGACCATATTCTAGATCCCTTAATCCGACCCCATACCTAAACTTAACTACCTTACTAAGCAGCAAATTAGGAGTTTATTGAGGCAAAAGTCATAGTTAATAGTCACCAAACTAAAGTGTGACCAACTATTTATTGTACAAAAGTAACAAAATCAATTAATCTTTCTAAAGTAACACTGTCCAACAGCAACACCAACTGACTAAGTTAGTTACTAGTTAGTAGTTAACAATTAGTAGTAACAAATAAAAAATATTTCAGGTTGCATTAAAGAAGTCTTCATTTTTGTTTCAATATACATGAAAATCTTTGAGAATCGTTAACTTGTACAGCCTCTTACTGAATTATCAACACTAGGAAGACACAAGTGTGATAAAAGGGGTTTTATTAACAAAAGGATAGACAAGAGTAACTAACAGCTACTAAATGGGTACAATGAATGGATAAAGTGCAAAAGATTGATAGATGCAAGTGACTGAGTTGGATGTTACTATGGACATTATCTTATGTAACGATAAACTGTAGTTTCCTGGAATTAATAAGGCAAACCTTATTAAGATTCAACAAATAAATCGAGAGGTTATTTGTTATTAACTGACATCAGCTATGTAAAATCTAATGCAAATGAGATAATCATAAACTGACAATACACTCTAATGTCAATGGTCTCTGGAAAGAGGTTTGGAAGAGTGATAGTTACGTTGCACGTCTGGGCCGAGACATCTTCCACTTGTTGACCTTGGCCACGCTGCAGTGGGAGAAAGGAGTTGGATCCGTTTCACAGTCTTGAACACGAAGCACTGGTGAATGATGAACTCCTGAGCAGGTCCTTAGTCTGGAAACACGCAAACGGAGGAGCCTTGAAGGTGAAGGTTCTGAAGTCTGTACAGACGATCCGAACAACCTGGAACACGCAGGAGAAGGATCGCTTGATGAGACGATTCTGAAGTTGTGGAAGAAGATCCTAGCAGTTTGGAACTCGCAAACGGAGGATCCCTAAAGAGAAGGTTCTGAAGTAGTTGCAGAAGATTGTGGCACTAAGCTTGTGGTCGTTGTTGCTGTGGCAGTTTCCAAACTCCCCAAATTCACTCCTTGCAGAATTTCCTTGCTTCTCAGTAGTACAACAACAGCAGCTTAGCATATCTTGGCTTACCACATTTCTCTTAGCAACAACAGCTTAGCACACTTCTTTGTCTTGAAGAGAACCCCTTCCTCAGAAGGAGGGATTTGCAAGTTGGTTTCAGTTCCAGCGTTTTGATTGGCCGATGCTGTCAGAGGTGGTCATGGTATGGCCCCTCTGACATTAGGTCTATTTGCATAGCTTAAAGTCCAAGTTTAGAACAATGTCTTTAAGGTTTTTCCTATGCGTAATTCACTTTCCAAACCAATTCCAGATTAACCTACACATTGTGTTGAAAATATGAAGACCAAACATCAAAGGGTAATGCAGAAAATTTACCCATGCATTCATATATACTGTATATACCTTAATAGGTAAGGTTGCATACATTGTTGTATCACCTGCAGCACTCATTAAGTATATACAGTTCTATAAATGGATTTGAAGGTTTATTCACTTTTGAATTCTATTTTGTGTGAATGCATGTGAATATGTGTCTTTCCTTTGTGGCTTTGGCCACCTGGCAAAACTTGTATCTCCTGTGAGGGGAATTTACGATCATTCACACTTTGATGAGAGAAACGGAGACAAAGCCGCTCCTGAGCTGGGGCTACTGTATGTTAATGTTAACTCCCTCTCCACAAGAGGTAGTGCTATTTTATCTGAAGACAAAAGGTGTGCTTTGTTGTCCACAAAACCTGATCAAATCAAAATGACGCTTTCCAATCATCAACTGCTGTCCACTACAATATGGATAAACTATTAAATGAAAATTGGACTTTTGTGGATGTTACACAAAAAGTACATTAGGTCCAACGTAACAAACCAAATATCTTTATGATTTTGCTCACAGGCATATTCAAATCTTTGTCTCTTATTATTAAAAATGGTATTTCACTGGGTTAGTCCCTCCTTTTTGTTCTCTTCCCATTATATTCCCATGATATCGCGTTTGGTCTCGTTCTGTATGGCGTATCTTGTCAGTGTCTGCGCTTGCTTGGCCATTTGTTGCTGAGAAAATAAGGAAAGTGCGTTCCAGTGCCAGCAGAAAACAGTGTAAAGAAATAGTCTTTGAGAGAAGCAGTCTTTATCAGCGGAAGTTAAAAGCAGCTCGTAAGTGTATTTACTTGTCTCATTAGTGTTTAGTGCAGTAGTCGTTGCTAGGAAACGCTTGTTTTGTTTACTGTGTGGAGACGTGCTGATATCGCGTTTGGTCTCGTTTTGTATGGCGTATCTTGTCAGTGTCTGTGCTTGCTTGGCCATTTGTTGCAGAGAAAATAGGGAAAGTGTGTCCAGCTGAATCAATTTAGTATTTTGTTAGACGGGTATAAAAAAAGGGTAATTTGATTTGTATTATTTGTATTTGTTATTTATTTTAATTTTAGTTACATTATGTCTGAATTTATTATGTCTGTATAGGTCTTTTATTAAGTTTTTAGTTTAATTTAATTTGAGTTATTTTAATACTTCAACAAACTAAATGGAAATGAAATAATATATATATTGAATTTATAAATGTGTATGTACATATACAGTATATATGTATGTGTGTGTGGTTGTACATACACATATGTAGTTGTTTTTTTGGTGTTTGGCTTAGTGTTGTTAGAATCATTATTATACTCTTATACCTTTTGTTCTTTAATATTTTGAATTGTTTTTAGCTTTATTTTTTGTTTTTCATTTATATGTTAAGTTTTGAAATTTTGTTGTATGCATTTGTCATTTTTATTTAATCTCTTTATTTTTAAAATGTGTATAGGTAGTATTTATAAAGTTTTAGCTTTTAGTTTTGGATCTGTTTTTAGTTGTTTTAATACTACAATTGATTGCTTCTGTTGTCCTCATTTGTAAGTCGCTTTGGATAAAAGCATCTAATAAATAACTAAATAAATAATTAAATTATATCACTTGCTTCCAAATAGAAAATCTAAATTAAATTGGCTATTTAAAAAAAAAGGATCACTATCAATAGAACACTATCATATATCAAGACAGGAAAGAAGCAGCAATTTCATGGGGTCTTTAGCACTTGAGAGGCTGTATGAAACTTTTCATCTAATCTGAGACCTTTGATTTAATGTATTAAAATGGCCTTTTGTAATGCGCTTCATGGAGGCCACTTCTCTTCAATTAGAAGTTGGTAACAACTCATTATTTAGCCAGAGGCTTTAGTACAGCACCAAATTTCCAATTAGCATGTGGGCAAATGATTTGTTTTTGTAGTGCACTTGAGGTGAGACCGACATGTTGCTGTCTCCATTCAGCATGGTCCAGAAAGAGCTCGGTCACCATCTGACAGTGTTGCCAGTGTGTGAAGAGATCGCATTAGCATCCTCACTCACTGATAATGCAGGTCTAACTGAAGCTACAATGACTCTGAGTGCGTTACTGGACTGGTGCTTTGATCCAGCGATCATAAATCTGACCGGGTGGAGCTGCTCTGTTGTTCTGTTGATGTTTAGGGAATATGTGCTATGCAGGATGTGCAGTACTTTAGTCCAAGACCCATCAGCCTTTTAATACACTATTGTTCAAAAAATTTGTGATCGGTAAGATTTTTTGAATGACAACATTGATTCGCTTATAGTCTGGGGCTTTTCACTGATCCAAGCAAAAAATTATGTGGTAAAAAAAAAAATGGAAATGGAGAATGGAAAAGTCTTTAATTTATTCCTCTAATGAATAACTGCACCACTTTTGTTTTTTTTTTTAGCTAAAACTCGATTGGCTCTCTCAGGTTCGTTTGCTCCGCTCTAACCTTGTTCCTCTTTTCCTCCAGCCCGTTCCTGCTGTGGATATTGATGAACAGACGCAGCTTCAGATCGCAATGAGTCTCAGTGAGGAGGAGGCACACAAGGTACTGCAATCCCAGGAGTCACCGCTACACCTCCCCATCACCTATAAGTTGCCCAGTAGTTTCAGTAACATGCCTGTATGTTGTAAGTGACACTGCTTGCATGTTGTCTGATTGTATCTCTCTAGCCAGCTCCTCCTCCTGCTGCTGTTCTGGACATGGATGAAGAGGCACAGCTTCAGCTGGCCCTCACTATCAGTAAAGAGGAACATCAGCAGGTATGACCCTGGGTCATGAGTTTTAAAACTTTAACAATATCTATTCATCTATGCAAGAACTAATTTCCCACATCTAAAACTGGGAGTGATGATATTCACAAATATGGGGTCTTGAGTGGCAAATTTTTAATGTTCTACCCTCAATTGTAAGTATGTGGAAAAGCACCAATAATTATTTATTGTGTTGTTATTTACATAGATTTTTAAATAGTATTTAAAGAGCTTGGCAACCCTTCTGAAAAAGAAGTACACTTTAGTATGCACTTTAGCAAAATATACTTTAAAAGAGTATACTTAAGTCTGAACTGAATGTAATGTTTTCAGACAATTAATTGCATGTTAATTGCTATTAAATTATGAAATATAGTATGTATATGTATTATAGCCATTTTATTTCATTAATATTACATTATCTGCAAGTATACTTGTTTTTAATATACTTTTAAGGTTTAAAGCACTACAAGTGCATATTCAATACAACGAAGCACACTTACTTTTTCACAAGGGTATGCCAAAGTGTAAACACAATGAAACATAATAAACTCTGATAAAGAAAACCTATTTCTGTTTAAACCATATAGTCATGAAGAGTTTTATGATTTTAGAAATATCAAACCATTTTTAAGAAGGCAAATGTCACAGCATAGCAGGGTTAACAGAAAGTGAGGGACAAGTTCTACATTTTCTACAAAATGCATAATGCTTTTTTCTTTATTTTGTAAATTTGAAATTGTGATTGACAAAAAAAGTTTACAAATAGTTATTAATTAAAAAAATATCCTTCACATTACACACTATCAGCATCTATCAAATTTTTTTTTATTGTTAATTGCATCGGTATTATGTCTAAGGAAACAAAAATGGCCATACTTCAGTTGTTTCAACCTTTCAATGGCAAACAGTTACACAGGTATTTGTACCACAGTTGTACATTTTTATGAATCTCACAAGTAGCCTAGAGCCTAGAGGGGTCATTTCATGATGGAATCAGATCTTCCTTGTGTTCTTTGAGTTCAGTGTACTTTGAAAACTTGCTGTAATTTTTAGAACTCAAAACGTCCTTCCCAAACCAAAAAGACCATTTATTGAAACTAAACTGCCAAAATGACTTGTTCTGAAATCCTTGAGCTGCCCATTCATAGATTGTGTCCAAAAGAGGAAAAGTGGCTGGTTTTGCAGGCAGTATCCAGAGGTATGAAGGCATCAAGGCACATTCAAATTCAGTCTCACATTTTCCTAACATACTGTCTACTCAGATATCTTCATCTGGTCGTTTTTTAAGGCAGCCGTACATTAAATTAGTTTATAAATAATAAATAGTTTTTCCACTCATGATTCAATTTCTACTAAGAAAAAAAGCACTGTAATCATTAAATATTCATTTGGTTATCTCTCAGTTAAATTTGTTCTTGATCATTACACATAATGTTATGGTGTGTTGGGAGTGAGTTCAGTCCAGTCCAGACCAGTTTCCTCAGGAGGTGCCTTCATACTAAAACATTACCTGTTTAGTTACTGACTGATTGGGCAGCAAAACAGGTTTCAGACACGACCATAGTGAGGAAATATGGAATAAATAGGATAATGTTATTATTTCCGATACTAGAAGAGCTGTTGACTATGAAAAGTGCAGTTAGTTAGTCAAACCTTGTGCTGTTCCTGGTTGTATGTAGCACCTACGGCTCTGCATATCCCAGCATTAGGAAAACACCTGAAGTTTGTTTTTGACAACATTGATGGTCACTTTAGTCTCATTCTGTCAGTTTTAATGGTGTATTTCAGGGCGGATTGTTTTATGACTTTGAAGCTTTGAACAGTCTTTTATTGAAGGATGAGGGAATTGAAACTATATTGAACTTGACAACAAACGTGCATTTTGCCACAAAGAGTACAGCAGAAACAAATGGCTTGTTTTTAAGGGTCAGCAAGGGGGTGGAAATGGTTATATAAACTAAATGGTCATACACATCTACATGAAATAGTGAAAAAAGTATAATAGTGTGACTGTGCATACTTGCTCTAGTTGTGTTCTTAAGGATGTCTTGAACTCTGACATGTCTTCTATGTCTGTTGGTTACTAGGAGGAGCAAAGTCGGCAGGGAGACGAGTCGTTGCTCCAGAAAGCACTTGAGGAGAGCAAACGAGAATTGGAGGCCAAAGGAGGAAGAGTATGAGACTCTTTTAACCTGTTCGCTCTTTATAAGCACATATAAATGAGTCTTCTGAATGCTTTTACTAAGAACAGATAAACAGATTGATAAATCATGTGTAGCCGTTCCTACGGTAAACAAGAGGACAAAGATAAAAACAGACATTGACACTGACAGGTACCAGGTGGTGTGGACCACCATTCGAAACATACGGGAAAAAGTTAAAAAATTTTGACCACTACTGGAGAGGACTTAATGTGCTTTGGTCTGTTAATTGAAGCTGGTTCATTTTTAGTTTGTCATATAAATTCAAGGTACTGTACTGCAGTGAAATGTCCCCATTGCAAGGTTTTTGTGAACGCTTGTGTATAGATGCATGCTGTATTGACCTAAAAAATCTTTCTGAATGTGCTGAAAGTGCTTTTCTGTCCTTTCCTTTGGCAGTCTGCCATGCTGGATCTTGCCGATATTTTTGCTCCAGCTCCTGATGTGCCCTCTGCTGCCAGTTCTTGGGATTCATCTGGAGGCCATAGTGGCTTAGCCCAGGCTGGTCCTCTGAGGTCTGACCCCTGGGATAGTCTAGGTAAGCTCATATGATTGTATATCAGCAATGCACTCTTAAACATTAGAGGCCCACTAAGTATTTTAGATACATATAAAATAATACAGTGCATAAAATGTGTCGCACTTCGTGGTGACTGCCGGATCACATTACGAAAATTACTTTTTTAGCTACACCAGCCAATGGCTGTTCATTTGAGAACGTATTTTGGCCATAAATATTTCTTAACAGTTAGAAATTTTATTTTTCATTTATTTTATTTTACTGGAATTTTAATATTTTTTTGACAGAACATGGGACAGTTGAAAGGAAACGGTAGGAAAATTATAAAGGGGTAGATTTGACCAAAGTGGGGTTTGAACTCAGGTTGCCCTCACATAAGCAAGATAATGCAGCATGATCATTATTTTTATTTAAAAATACTTTTTTCCCCCCTTTGACAGAGGAATTGTTTAGCACAGGTCATTGTGTCAACATATATATCATTTTGTTTCTCATATCCTTTAAAGTTAGTGGCAAACTAACATAATACTTGTCATGGCCAGTTTTTACTTGCATTTGGACTCTTTCAGTTTGCAAAATAAATGAATCATGGGCGATGAATACGCCTGTGAATAGGGATTAGTATGGGCGTTCCTCAGTAACACTGGTAACCAAAAAAGTTTGCTGCAACTACGTCAGTGACTCTCAGCCTTTTTGACTCCAAGGGCCCCCATCGTCAAATACAATATTTGAAGGCCTCTCAAGAAATGTATGATACTTCTCCTATAATGTCAAAGCTGCTCATTTTCAAACTTATGTATAGAAACTAAAATAAACTAAAATAATTAAATTCCATAATTCCAGTAGACGATTGTTCTTCCTGGTTTATACTTTTTATTACCAGTTTAGATTAGTTTTTTCCAGCTTGTCCAAGATCATAAGAACCCTGGTTTTTAAGTAAAAATGTCAGTTATTAAGGGAGCAAATTAAAATAAGAAACACGTATACATCTTGATTTTTAGGTGTTTTAGCTTATTTTAAACTAGGGATGTGTGAGACTAGTCAACTAGCTGATATTGCTGCTGCTATCGACACTGGAAATACTAGTCATTTACAATACATAAATTATTTTTTTGCACATTTATGTTTTGCATTATATTTTTACAAAGGCTACATTTAACTTGCAGTCATGTTAATGTTACTCTTTAAAATCAATGTTATTTTGAAAAGTGTATATCTGGAGCGGAAAACAAAATAATTTCTGTCATGTGTATAAGTTATTTTCATACACGAGAAGTGCGATCAAACCTGGACACACAGGAGGTTAACATGGTTTAGTATGGTATTTGAATGTTTGATTCATAAAATAAGTAGGCTACTTAAAATGGATTGCATATACAGTCTTCCGGGGTTTGTTAGACTAGTCGCCTCGTCATTTACTACATTTCGGTTTAAACGTTAATTAAATTAGTCGTCTTGCACATCATTTGTTTTGTCTTATTTTAAATAATTTTAAGCCATTATTGGGCCCCTTTGGTATTGTGCTGAGGCCCCCTAGTGGGCCTCAGACACCTGGTTAAGAGCCACTGATCTGCACTGATATGTGTCAGTATGAAGTCCATGACTACTGTTGTAAAACAAACAAAAATTTACTTGGTGCACCTTTAAGCACAATGAATGTAAATTTCCAGCAATATTGCCTTAATAATACAACCTTACTATCTGAATTCCACACACTTGCTGGATTGTGTTGAAGCAGAGCCCAGCTCTTTAAGCCGTCAACATGGAAGCTCATGGATGGCGCCTCCTGCATCAAGTGTTCCTTCCCAGCCTTGGGTGCAGCGACAGCCACATCCTGACCCATGGGATGCCCCTCAGAATGCCCCAAGCCCTGTGTCCATGAATCAGACCTGGATCTCCCCTGCACGTGGTACAAACTTCAACTTCTAGTTAACAATGTAGATTTGATCGCTGGTCATACCTAAAGATGCTAAATATACTAAATACACTAACTGAAGATGCTATTAATCCTATATAAGTCCAACCATTTTAGATTTGTTGTAAATTCTGTAGGAACTGGAGTGGATCCCTTTTCACCCCTAGAAGTAGACAAACAAGGATCTATTGGCCCTCTCAAAACTCCATCCCCTCGGGCAGGAAGTCCCTCAGGCAATCACAATGACTGCTCTTCTTAACCTAATATTTTTTTCTATTAATTTTAATATATTAATATTAATAATCACTCATTGCTATTGTAATATATATATATATATATATATATA